AGGAAGTTGTTTCTATCAAGCTTAACTGAGGGTGATTGACTGATATTTATTCTAAAGGCCAAATTCTGGTTTGCTGCTAGCTGAGTTGCTGTGCCGGTACTGAACTCAGATTGGTTACCAGAATTGGTGTTAGCCATTTTGGCTCTGATACCAAGTTAGAATACTGATATGAAAGAATCTGAATTGTTACTTCTTATTCCAATTTAGCCGTAATATATACATGAAGGCAGTAGCAAGAATATTCTAGAAGAGGAGAGAGGGAGAAACTAATTTCTACAATTGGTTAAACAGAATTATTTCAATCCCTAAAAATCAGGAAATGTAACAATGCTGATATCCCTCCATGTGAGCTGGCTGAGCATTCCATGTGAGCTGATTGATCAATTCTAACTGAGAGGGAGAGAGAGAGGTGGGAGGTGACAGAGTGGGGGCTGTGGGGTCTTTATATGGACGAATATCACGGTGGCTGGTGGCGGAGGCTCCAGGGTTTGGTAGTTGGCGCCTGGCGGCAATCATGTGTAAGTTGGGCAGGTGCTGCTATTGTAGACGAAAGTCAAATTATCAACGTCAAACGACTCTCCCTTTTGCTTTTTATAAATATAAAACAAAAATAAATAAATTATCTCTTATATAATTTTTTAAAAAATATAAAAAGTTGGGAATTTATTTGGTTATTAGATGAAATAAAAGTCACGAGTTCAAATCAATGTTATAAAACCTAAAATAGGCGTTCAATCTAAGAGCTTGTTTGGGAAGGATTAAAATTCAATTAAAATTGAAAATATAGCCGTTATTGGGCCCCACTCGTCTAATAAAAGTCAACTCCAACAGCTATATTTTCAATTTTAATCTGATTTTAATTCCTCCCAAACAAGCTCTAAAATTAATTCAGAACCTAATCCGATCAAAGATAAAAAAAAATAATTAAATTTGAAATCCAATCGCTTACCTAAAAATTAATTGTTGTCCTATATTTTTATTATCGATTCCTTGTCGATTCAACCATTTACCTTTTAATTAATAATTATTCATTTTATAAATGAACAATTGAACCGCTTTTTATAACATTAGTTCAAGCATCATTAGTATTCATTTATGAAAGATTGGTCTTTGAAAGTTAGAATCGTGGTAAATCCCTATTATATTAAGACCATGTTTGAGTTATATTATTTTTTCATTCTCATTCTTTTACTCATTTTTTACCACACATTTTTCAATAAAATAATATTTTTCATCACATTAATAAATTTTCCTTCTTTTTCAACCACATATTCCCTATCACATCAACAGTAAAAATGTATTCTTTTTCTAAAAATGTGCACCAAACGGGGGCTAAAAGAGTGAATCAGTGGAGTTCTGTTCATTTTGAAGCATTTTAGTTAGACCAAATTGCCCCACCATGCTGAGTACTGTTTATTTTAAAGCATTTTCGCTAGTCCAAATTGTCCCATATCCATCGTCTACTATTTACACCAACTGTCCCCTATCTGTCTTCCACTATTCACACGTGGGTTAAGAATAATTTGGAAAGATCATTTTTTAAATCAATTTATATGCCTACAATTGTTGACTTTTAATGTCGGAAAAAAAAAATTCGTTTGCTCCACAGCTTTGCACTCTATGGAGCATCTCCGCAAAGTACAGAGCATTTGGAAAAAAAATTCAAATTTTTTTTTATTAATACTGTGCAAACAATAATAATATGCCATGAATTTCTATAAATAATATTAACCAAATTTATAAACACTTATTAATAATTTAATTCAAAAATTAATAAACATCACAATCGTTTACAAATTATAAAACCTCACTATAGTTTACAAATCAGATTTCCTTTCGGGGAGCGTTGCCCCCGAGCCCCCACGACCTGACCGAGCAGGTCGATTCCTTATTTTGTCAACACATCTACTTATTTTGTAGTATGCGCAATCACTTATTTTCTTTAGTTTGGTGAATTTATTTTCTTATAGTAAAGAAAAGGCGAAGGACTCAATAATTTATTCGTACAAGATACATATCAATGGTTTTGCTTGTGTTCTTGAAGAGGAAGATGCATAACAAATAGCAAGCATGATAATATATTTTTTTAACATTTATTCCTATATTTCCAATGTCCTTTGTTTATAGCATGTTTGGTAATAAAGAAAAAAAATGTTAAAAATCTCGTTCACCATAGTGAACGATACATCATGTTTATTTTGTACTAAAACATATTTTTTTTCATTGAAAAGCATCCAGATGTAGTATCTATTCTCTTGGATCAAGGAAGAAATTTACTAACAACACATTCATGTGAATTTCTTATATTGGAAAGAAATTCTTAACATTCGGAACGCTAATATTACCTTAAAAATAACACAATTCGTACAATGCACGTGGCAAAATCTAGTATAAATATAAATATGAATAAATAAATTCGTGTTTTAATAAATAGATAATTTAGTTGAAATACAAACCCTTAATCCCTAGTATATAAGCTCACCTACCCACGTTCCCCACCAACCTCCCAGATAGTCCTGCAACCTATCAATTATATATCAAGATTCTCAACTTGTCATAATTTAAAAAATTCATATCATTTATATATATAATAAGCACGTGTGTGATTTCCATGCTTCAAAATAAAACTACACACTATTCAAATTTGAAATTTTAAGTAAATTTCTAAACTATTCGTAAAGGAACGTATTATATTTTCGAATTATTATTCTTTTGAATGAGGAGAATGTGGTTTTCAAAATGTGTTTGGCCATTGAATTTTTGGAATGATGATTAAGAGGAGACGAGACTTTTGCATTGATAAATTCTCTTTATTTGTAAGGGTAAAAAGGTCAACTCATCCACTTTGCTTGGCAATAGAATATTGGTTAAATTTCACCCAAGGGTTCCCGGCAAATGTGACACTCATTTACTCAATCTATCATTTGTTGCATCTATTTCCTCAATCTTGCAGTTATGTCCCTCGGTTGATAAAAACAAATATTTGAACATTAAATAGTTATGTGACACTAGGTTGGACAAAACTCTCGAACCCGAACTGAATCAAATCAAATTGAGCAGTTCTTCATAAGTTAAATACCTGAACGAATATCTAAATCGAGAATTGATGGTTTTGGTTCGATTCTCGATTCTAAACCAAGAAGCGAATAAGAATCGAATCTAAATATTTTTTTAAATTTTTTATATTGAATTAATTAAATTAATTTAATTTTTTAAAACAAAATAGCAAATTAACTAATTTAGTGATTAATGTTTCAACTCCCACCCCACCCCACCCCACCCCAATCCCATTTTTTTTTATTAAATCTTATTAGTTGAACAATTTTTAATTTATTTGTGTTTGTTAATTGTGCCTTTTCAATTATACTTGTAGAGTTTCTTAGTAGACAAGTCAAGNTTGGTATTTGTATACATTGAATTAATTTTATTGGACAACTTGTTATTTATATGCTTTTAAATTGGGTTACGTTAATTCGTAAAAGTTATGAATGAACATGTTATTAATTGTATTTTTGTAGTGTTGATGTAAATGTTAAAAAAATTAACTATGTCATGGAACAGAATCGAACGGAACCCAACATGAACGTTTCTATAATTATATTTGGACGCGACGATTCCATTTATTAAATACCCAAAAATTTTGGCTTCGTTCAATTTTCTTCAGAATCAAACCTGATCGGACCATGTCCAGCCCTATGTGACACTTATGCCGAGTGTTCGACTAAAAGGGTGAAATTGTCCGAAAAGATTTTCTTTATTCCAAAACAAGGTTAAGATATGAATGTAACAAATGTTAAGTTGAAAAAAATGATGATTACATTTACAAAATTTCGAGACTTTTATTTGAGTTTACCCTAAATTTTTTAGCAAAATTATTTACATGCTCAACACCTCTAGGTGTGTGGTCGGTGAAGATGTGATGGTAGAAATTGAACAAGCAAATAGATGTAGAAGTAAATTTGACAATTCTTTTTTAATAAAGAGCATATAAAAAGTAATTTTCTTAAAGTTTGAATAACAAGCGAGGAGAACGCGTTCGTTGATGTTTACTAATATTTTCAGATACGCTAGATTTGAACGTGTTATTTAACTATTAACTTCTTTTCTGTATTTATTTAAATACTGCATCATTGTCGAATTGTTTTATCGCAGCATCTTTGGTGGCACTGAGTAATTGACAGAAGTTCAAGGAGCATCTGAATCACGATGTATCCTTCATGTGGGCACGTGAAATGGACCTCTCTACGGGCTACAGAACAAAAAATTGTGTACAAATTATTGAGGTTGGTTGCTTTTGGATCTGCAAATTTGCAATTATGCTGGCTAAAGTCAAATAAGTGGGGTCATTTCCTATACTTGAATGTCCCAAATATTTTTAATGAATATTAATGTCGTTACACGTGAATCGAGTGTATAAAAAAATGTATTGTATTACTATTAACCGAGGTTATGGGTTGTTGGGACATTGATCGATTCGTGTTGGTCACTGAAGAACTTTAAAAAAAATTAGGTCTATTTGATTTGGCAATTTTTCTACCGAAATGAAATTTCATCCTCCACCAAAAGTCATGTTTAATTGGGAAAATTTTCTTGGCAATTCATTTTCCATCTTTTGTCTCACGCAGTTCTAATTCCATGATTTTTAGGAAAATCAATTCTTTCTTTAGGCAATGAAAACAAATTATATCCTTTTAATGAACAATTTTCATGTAAAACAAAGACAAACGAACACCAAAAAATTCAAAATTTCAACATTTTTCAGATGAAAAATTATACTAATCAAACACAATTAATTGACAATTCCGAAGAAAACAAGTTTAGGCAATTCAATTCCTTGGAATTCATTTTCTTTCCTTACAAATGAATCATATTACATGTACAATACTGGTTGA